CAATAAGCCTTATGGCACATACAGCAAAGATAATAGCAAAGATAGTTAAAAGAAGAATTGAAAGGAAAATAGAGGATATACTTGGAGAAGATCAGTTTGGATTTAGAAGAGGAAAAGGAACCAGGGAAGCAATCAGGATGATGAGAATTATAGCAGAACGAACTTTGGAGATAGATGAAGAACTGTGTGCTTGCTTTATAGACTGGCAGAAGGCATTTGACCGTGTAAATTGGACCAAATTTATGCAGATCCTAAAGGAAACAGGTATCGATTGGCGTGAAAGAATCAGAAAGTTAGAGTGCGACTGGACAGAGGGGAGACAAGAAGTGTGAAGATTTGAAGAGGAGTTTGACAAGGATGCTGTTTATCACCAATTCTGAATGGGCTTGGAGACTTCAAATTAGGAGGGCAAATTATTCCAACTGTGAAATATGCAGATGACCTTGTGTTAATGGCTAAGGAAGAAACTGTGCTACAGGGTATGATTGATAGACTAATCAAAATTGAAAGGTGCTACGGCATGGAAATGTGGAAAAAACAAAAGTAATGAACATTTCGAGACAACCAACCCCAGTCACAATAAAGATAGACCAAAAACAACTGGAGAATGTGAAATGTTTTAAATATTTGGGTAGCTTGTTAACAGATGATGGAAGGTGTACGTGTGAAATCAAATCTAGGACTGCCATGGCAAAAGCTGCATTTAGCAAGAAGAAGAATCTTTTTACAAGCAAATTGGACTTAAATTTGAGGAAGAAACTAGTGAAATGCTACATTTGGAGCATAGCTCTGTATGGGGCTGAAACATGGACACTTAGGGCAGTAGATCAGAAACAGCTGGAAAGTTTCGAAATGTGGTGTTGGAGAAGAATGGAGAAGATCAGTTGGACCGATTATGTGAGAAATGAAGAAGTGTTAATTAGAGTCAGTGAGCAGAGGAATATCCTACATGAAATAAGAAAACGGAAGGCTAATTGGATTGGTCATGTTTTACACGGTAACTGCCTTCTAAAAGAAGTTATTGAAGGAAAGATAGAGTGTTGGATAGAAGTGACCAGAAGACGAGGAAGAAGACGTAAGATGATGCTGGATGACCTTGGGGACAGAAGAGGATATTTTCATTTGAAGGAGAAAGCTCTAGATTGCATCAAGTGGACGAACTGTTATGGAAGAGACTGTGGATCTGTCATCTTGACAGATTACTGATGAATGAATGAATGAATGTGACATTTGTTAAAAGCGTGATAATCACCCATTTGTGTGTTGCCTAGCCAATGAAGAAATAAAGACAATTATAAACACTGCTATTGGGTGCTAAGTACAGGCCACTACAGATCTCTATGAAGCTTGTTCACAGTACTGCAGTTTTCTAATTTAACTGTGGTGAGGTGGTTAAAATTAGTTTACAAGAATTGGAACAGTAAAATATAGTGCAGCTCCCATTTATGTGATTATGTTAATGAAGATGTCCTCACTTCTGATGGTAAACTTTTTTTTGTTAAGCACGTGGAAAATCTACCATCACATGATCATGTTTTCAAGTCAATATTTAAGTGGAAGCAGGCATACTGCTGTCATTGTTGGCTTGAGATCAGCCAGGTAGGCAATCTCTGTGACTAGCCCGCTGCATGTTTTTCTTCAGGACCTTCCAAATTTGACCTTTGGAACAGATCTGTGCGAAGAATTTTGCATGCACTTCTAAAAATAAATAATCCTGAAGTTCAGAATTCTCTTCTAAAGTATACTCAAACAGATCCTCCAGATGACTCAGCTTTAAGGGAAAACTATCTACTTAAGTACTATGAAGAAACATTGAACAAAACTAGAGTATTGTGCAAGAAAGAAATTATTTGGGTGTCCACAGACAAAACAACCAAGGTAAATTTTCTTACTGGGGTTTGAAAAATGATCATATATGATAACAGCAAGAGTTTCTTTTATGCAGTGGCCATATGGTGTGAGATTTTATGTGCTGTTGCTCATTGCAGATTCCACACTGTACATGAAAAAAGTAGGACTTTATCCATAACTCATATATGTTACATGAGTAGCACATTCACTGCACAGTCTGTGAAACAATTCATGTGTTTTATTCAAATGTTAACAAGTTAGTGGTTAATGAGATAAAAATATTTGTGAAATATCAGCTACAAGAGAGCTCTTTAAGGACGAACTTCCAGACACACCATTCCCTCCCAATTCCGGTAATTACATACTGGGGAACTTGATTGGATGCCATTCTGCATGATACAGAACTTTGAAATATTTTATCCTAAAGTAAATAAACCTGACAGAGCTGATGCTTCCTTTACTGCAGTAAATATTTAATGACTCAAACGAATTTAAAGCATTAAGACTTGCCTACATTAATGGGAACTTCAATTTCTGTCACAGCCTATAACAGAGATGGCCAAAAAACCCAAATCTATTGTCAGAAACAATAAAAGAAATCAAAAACATTCATGTATGTTTTGGATCTGTATTCAACACTACACTTAGAAAAAAACAAATATACAACAAGCAACACAAAATCATCTGCAGTCCATTATCTGCACAGACCACATGTACATGAAAAATAAAAATTTGTAACAGTCTAAGGCTGTACTTAAATAAATATAATTCATAAACATCAACCACTGATACCACAGTATGTAATCTTATGTTAAAGTCTTCATAATTCTTTGCTATAATCCCTAAGTCTTTTATTATATCCATGTTCAGTTTTATAGTACTTTCATTGAAGATGTTTTCCCTCACTTTATTTCTCCACTTAGTCCTTGGTCTTCCAGTGGCAAGTTACCCAATATTTTTGATCTTTATGCTTCCAGAGAAATCCTATTTTCATTCATAACTAATACATTCATACTATGTTAGTACAGATTTAGTGTTCTGATGTTTAGTGAAATCCTGTATTTAGAGAATACTGTTTTTCTAATCCCAGCCATAGCTCCATTTAAATTATGTAATACTTTCTGATATTTAGTGAATTCTGATTTCACAAATAATCCACATTTAGGGTAACAAATTTTGAAATTCCAGAACTCATAACCTCAATTAAGTGTGACTGTGGTCATAGAAACAATGCATATTCACATTTTCTCTCTGCCAGAAATCATTCCCACACCACCACCATAGTTACATCAAACAATCAAACGTTCTTAGAAATTAATTTCATATTACTTGTTATGTAATTGTATTTATTTGTGAAGATACAGTTTCTGTAACCACTTACAAAAGAATCTATTTCATCATGATTAAGTCTGAATGTTCTGAGATTCATTTTATATGATTGGTTACACAACCGTATTCATTTGTGTGGTCTCTCTACAACCGCTTACATAGAGAAATTATTTTATCATATCATATGATGATGTACAGTTTCTTGATTTAATTCTGCACAACTCACATTTAGTGCAAGAAAACCCATTCCACCCTAAATTAATTAAATGGGGATTTCACCATATAATCTTCATTCAACAGACTTTTCTTGTAATGCTTTAACTCAATGTGCACAGGTAAGGCAGTATCACATCTCTATAAATCAGGAATAACAACCTGTTATTATTAACAGTATGAAACAGGTCTACAATATGTATATATGGGGTTTATACAACATGCATTAAAGCTGCTAAGTATTTACTGTTCAGAAACACATCTCATGAACTAACCAACAGATGGCACAAAGCACACTCCACCTTGAGAAGGTAACAGTCACTCTGCTAGTGAAGAAGTTCCCTAACCTTTATGTAACCATCAGGTTCATTAATATAACTACAACAGCCGATCACTGGACCCTATCTTGAATCAATTTAATCCAGTCCACACCCTCACAACCCATTTCCTTCAGACCCAAGTTAGTATTATCTTCCCCTCCTTCCAGAGTAAGTTGGTCCCTTCTCACTGTTGTATGAGTCCTCAGGTTATGGAAGGAAGAGACCCTCAACAGATATGGAGCTACAAATATAATGAATATGCAATAATGTACAGCTGACAAAGGGTGGTCCTTTAGCTTGGTGGTTGGGGATGAGGCCAACAATTCCTCACCATAAAAGGAGTGCATCATATGAACTGTTGCTCATAGAGCTATCCTTGAAATTTGAAGAGAGAGGACCTGAAAATGAGGGACATTAAATATGCATTCTCTTGCATACGATACTGTATGTGCCACTGCTATATACGCTCGACACTGAAACTGTCAATAAACTGGGAAAGAAAAACTATAAATAACCCTTCCCAGTTATGTCCCTGCCCTTAATAATAAAATGCTTATGTATTTTTGTTTAGATACTTTTACATCTGTGTAAAAGAGCTCTGTGGTCTAGTGGTCAGCGTTCCTGGCTACAGATCTAGAGGTCCAGGCTCGATTCCTGGGGCTACCAGATTTTTTCTGAGAAGCAGTGGGTCTGGAACGGGGCCCACTCAGCCTCGTGATGATACCTGAGGAGCTATTTCAAGGAAATAGCGGCTCCGGCCTGGAAAACTGAAATTAACGGCCATGGGGATTCGTTGCGCTGACCACGCGACACCCTCTATATGCAAAAGTTGGCACTGAATTTCGCCGACAAGCAGCGGTCCCTCAGTCGGTATAGTTCTCTTGTGGACTAAAATCATGGAGTTTGTTTTGTTTTTGTTTGTAAAAGAGTTAAGAGGAAAGAAAGCATGAGAGCTTGATAATTAAACACAAGAAGGATAGGATTACTCAAGATTAGTTTACGGGTGCTAACATCGGTCTTAATATTTCAATCTTTCTGCACTCTTTGCTTATGCCTTAATTTACAGATGAAAAGTGCAAACTTCTGCAAGATGCAACAAAGCAAGAACTTGAGTGCTCTCTATTGGGAAGCAAGAAGCAAAATGGGTTAAATGATCCCAAATGCAGCCATTGGAAACCAACAAACATTGAGGATAATGCACAACTAAAACATATACATATATACAATATAGGAGTAAATAAGGGAAAGGGTATCCAATGGAACCAAATGAACTTACACTGAAAAAAGTAGTAGTAATTTCCACTGTAAACGTAAATTACAACACAAACTGTAAACACCAAGAAGTATGAAAGAGCATGACAAAAAAAATCAGTGAGGAGAAGGTCTTGAGATATTTATGAACTGAAAGACTATGGTCAGCAAAGAATAGAAATTTAAATGAATATTTGAAAAAAAAATGTTATGATGAAGTGACAGCGATGATTGCAGGCAACTCACTCACAGCTAGTGTCTCATCTCTGTTTTCAATATCTATACTTAAAAGGAAATATTTAATGGCAGAACTAATGCCGACGGTAATCAGCATTTGTACTCGAGTATACCGTTATCAGAACATAATTAATATATAAAAGTGAGACATTTAGCATGAATATAGATTGACATTTGTTATTCAATTTATACGCATACTAAGATATCAATATTGCCAGCTGAACCAGCTGTGTACACACAAAAATAATTTTTTGGTACTAGCTGTTGAAATATTTCTATTTGAACCACGTGTCTTCTTCACATTTTCACTACCTTAACCAAGCACATTTTAATTTTATAATTTTGGTTCCTTCTATCCTATGTTATGCAGTCCTTAAATGGTATAAATTCATACTGTTTGATGTTTATACCACACATATGAACACATTATGACAAAAAGGTGTGTAGGTGATCGAATGTATAATGTATGTATAATGGGTGGGCCTTCTTGGCCCTTGCATTGCGACCACAGTGATCTATTGTGTCTTGTAGTTGATTAACATGCCCCTTTCACCTATGTCTTGCTTCCTTGAGATGGTTCCGTATTTCCTGAGGAAATCCCCATGCTTCTAGCTTATTGCTGTCTTTACTTCCAGCAATAATCTGAAAAAAAAAAAACTCTTACTTTAAAGAAATACTGGATTCATTTATACATATTTTATGACTAATTCTCACCCTTGTCTGCCACTCACCCTGTTTTTGACAATATCCATACACAACAGCATTTTTCCTGGTCCTGGAATAGAGGCAACTTGAGATTTATCCTGAAACAAGATATTGTAAACCATAAGACTACTAACTTCATAGAGAAGCCTGTCATTAAAATCATAACATCTGTGCAACTTCAGGAAGTTACATTACACATAAACACATTATGTTTTTAAAATAATTTTACTTGAAGCAGAGGAAAATTTCATTTTAAATTTTGAATTCTTATAATGTACAACATTCCCAAATCATGCATAAATCATAATTAAAATAGTTTTGTATAAATTAGGTTAGGCCACTATGTTAGTAATAATGAAACTAGGACCTGTACAGAACCACATCATTGCAGGAGAAGAAAATTCACTGATGCCATAGGACTGTACCTTTTGCAAATGAATAACCAACAGTAACAATTATGGAAAAACTACCATCTTGTATTTCAATCTTCACAAAGTAGCCTTCACATTCTAAGAATGATATTCATATTTAAGGTGTCCAATAAGTAACTAAAGTAAAGGTATCCCTGTAACAAGCCGTGGAGGTCCATGGAGTTAAGAGATGTTGAGGTTCCCACATTTTTTAGACAATCAATTCATAGATGGCAGCAAGGTTGTCAGCCCTACACGCTGGCCACCTTTTACCTGCAAGAATATTCCTGGTACTCACTTCTGTTACGGGCTGAGTCTACCTCTGGGCCACAGTGTGGCTGGAAGGATTAGGTCAATTGAAAAATACCCAATGACCTCATCAGGACTTGAACCCATGCCCTTCTGGCTTGTAGCATAGTGTCTCAACCAACTATGCTTCCACGTACCCCCTTATAGGGGTAAAATACATAATATAAAACAAAACAATACTGAATCAGCTGAACTGTTAAAGCACTAAAGGCTGACACAAATGACACTTCAAGACCTTCGGATTTACAGCAAAACCTTCATTACGCATATCTCTAGATAATGAAATGTATATGTAATTACAAAAATCATTGGGACAAGCAACGGACCACAAAGAACAGGGTACCATGCCACAAGTGATAACAGGTAAGACTAACTGCTGGCTAATACTTATATGTTTTATTTCCTACACATTTCTAATGTTGCATCCTGAAAGCATAATATTAACATATTTTAACATTTCAGTAACTTTACTGTGTATCATAGCTTTGTACCATCATACACCTGTATAATACAATTCACTGCTGTCCACTTGGTGGTATGCATCTTATACCATGACAAGCCCCTGTTCATGGTAAGGATATGGAGTGAGCACTGGCCACTAAATCACATGTGAAACATATCTTTCATTTGAAATGACAAACTATGGACTGCATCAACCCGAAAGAATACAGATTATGCCACTTCTATTTCTCAGTTCAGCCATTCACACTTCTTTTTTGGAAGAACTTAATACATATGTATAGATTTGTCTACGGTATGAAAAATTTGTTGGACATAACCTCATAGTTTCACATGACCGCCATGTTTGTGACTATTGACAAAATCAAATTTTATATCCTTAACTCCAATGATTCATCTGTTACTGCTATCAAACTGAAAGCTAACTTAGATTTCATGCAGGTGCAATTCTGTTTTTTATATTCTATAAAAATATTACCTTAACAAACGTTGCATATTTTTCCATGATCTGTTACCATAATTATTTTCAGGATCCTAGATTAAATGGCACTAGTGTTACTTCCAAATCACAAGTTTATCCATTTGCCACACTGTCATTACTGATTGTTAAAAATTAGAAAAAATATGATGACGGAGTGGCCTCTAATGGAATAATGTTCATAAAAATTTTTACAAAAATGTTCCACTAGTTTAACAGCTGAAATGGACACATACACACAACTTATTGCTTGCATACGTCTACTTCTCTCCTTATGGAGGGAAAGAGGCTAGAAATTTTCCACAGCCCTTATCAAGAACATATTGTAACGTGTTTCATTACTGAATACGCCGTAGAGATCGTTAATTGGTTTATTGAACAATCTACAAATATCGGCTACAATTAATTATCACAACGTTACGGGTTTCCACAGTTTACAAACCCTACAACAAAATCTCTTAACACCCTCTTCGAGAGTCTTCACGTACTAATAATGCGGGAGCTATACAAGTCTCCCTGAATTACACACTCCGAGTATAACTGTACTACAGCACTCACTATGTCTGGAAAGCACCCAATAAGTCTTCCGCTCGCTGACTTCTTAAGTATCGCACACTCGCAGGCTGCTATGTTTCAACTCGGTGACTGTTACTTTATAACTGACTCGCAGCCACTGTGCAGCTCACTTATATAGCTGCAGTGCTTGCTTGTTGCGTAATGAGTGCCACGTCATCCTGTTACGTCACCGCTGTTGACTCGCCTTGCATAGTTACCAGGTTGCGGGGGCTCGGCTCTCTTCGGCTCCGCTCGTGACGTCACCGCGCATAGCTGCCAGGATGCGGGGTGATTACTCGCCTATTACGCGAGCGTTACGTTCCCGCTGAGGGGTGGGAGGGGAGCGCTGACTCACCCGCCGCGTCACTGCTGGTGTGTGTGGGGGGGGGGCTCGGCTTTGCGCAACATGTCACAATATTCTCAGAGATTAATTATAAGCATTACATCATGTCAATTCAAATGTTTTATGGTCTTTTTTCTATACTGACTGTTCTTTCTTCAAGTTATTAAAGTCTTGGTTAATTTTACAGCAGGGCTGTATTAATACGACAGCATATTACTATGTACCTCATCATTCTGAAAAATTCCGAACATAAGTCTTCAAACAGTTTTAGTTTAAATGCATACAAATGAATATCCTTACATGAATACTGAAGACATAAATGTTCCCATCATAGCAACCAGCAAACAGTAAGTTGTTATATATCCTCATACAGACAACACCTGCAGCTGCCTGGAATCTGCATACTTCATCTCCACTCTGAAATTATATATAGGAACACAGAAACTACATACAGATGTCCCATAATTTCACATCATAAATATAGGAGGTGATTCCTGAAGTTATTCTGAGTGAAGAAATTTTACATCAACATGGGGTACATTCCCAGTAGTTTTGCAGGCAAGAGTATTTGACACACAGCACATTCATGCAGCATACATTAACAGATTTTTGCAAAAATAACTGCTGACCTTCTTGGAGAATGTTCCTCTGTCAACATGACTTTAGATGTACTACCAGCAAGCTGAAGCACTCCTGCATATCAGTAAAAAGTCATGCAGTGTCTGAATGAACAGTTCCCTGGCTGAAGGATCAGACATGGCAGTACAGTGAACTAGCTGTTCAACAGATTGCAGCTATGTAGAGAGTCACATGAAAAACATGGTGTATGAATGCAAGGTGGCCACTAGAGGTGATCTACTTCTGCACACCACATTAATAATGCTTCAGTTCTTCACAGTAGTATTCATTTCTCAGTGAAATAAATCAGATGTGTATCCAAGCTGAAGGTGGATATTTTGAACAATTACTTTCACAAAATGTGATAATTTTATCTTTTTCCCAATAAAAATGTTCTTTCCAACAACAAACTCCAAGTCAAGCTACACTTCAAATATCCATAGCTTTGAAATCCCTGACAATAGGGCCCATGTTGATGTGATATTTTTCACTCATAATCACCTCCTGAAGTTATGGCATAAAGTCATGGGACACTCCATGTAATCTGATGAGCATGATATCACAGAACACAAAAGTTCATTACAGCACAAAAAAAATTCTGCCACTTAATCTTATTCTGAGTAAACTTCGTTACAGATACCATATGTGTAATTTATAGTAACTTCAGACAGTAACTAACTAACAGACAGTATATTTAAATGCACTTGTCTTCTTCTTGGCCAGATTTCATTTGCCTTTAACTCTTACAAGTGGTGTTTACTTCAAAGGCGATTGACAAACATACAAATAAATGAGAGAGTCTGGTCTCTTACACATTCTTTACTGAATGACAAGGCTGAGTGGGTAGTAGTTCTGTTTTGTATGCAGAAGTCCTGGGTTGAAATCTCAGAAAGTAGAACAGCTATCCTAGCTTATGCTCTCAAGGTTTTCTTTAGTCCCTCCAGACAAATGCCACCACAATACCTCCAATTAGGCCACAACCACTTCTTTCTATTTGCATGGAAATTCATTAATTACTATCATCCTAATCATTCAACACTATGTAATATGAGGTACTGAAAGTACAGTTAAATGCATCATAGATAGAGAAACGAATATACATGCTTTGACCTTCAAAGTGTCCATAGATATTTCTATAAGTACATTATATTAAAAACTGATTACTAAATGTCTAAAAGTTAAATTTATTAAATGAAACATTTAGCCACAATACTAAAGTGACAATCTCTCCCCAATTTCTGGGTTACATTCAAAGCCTACCGTAAACTCAACTGCTGGTATGCTGCCTGTTTTGGTGCCACAGTACACAAGACCTGTACTGAGAACTAAACTATATACGGTATGACTCCAGTTGTTGCACACAGTGCGTAACAGTAATCCTAGGAGGACAAAAAGAAACACAGTATTAGGTTTAAATTCACTTCATAAGGATTAAGGTTCTACCTGTTATTCATGAAAAGTCAGGGTCAGAAAAACAACAGGAACATCCCATTCAATTTTTTTAACTTCCTCCTGAATTCATTTCAACTTACATATTCCAATGATAAAAGTGTTTGAACCTTATCATGCTTTAAAAGAGAAAATAAAACACTAATGATAGTTAAAAGAATATACTGCTCATCACTTAAAGGAAAGTCCGTGTCACCCATAGATGCTATGCCTTCTGCAACAGACTTAATGCTCAAAATTCAATTCCAGACGCGATTATTCTACTTTTTTTCCTTACCTGTAGCTGCATCTCTCACTGCAATGGGCTTATTTCGACTTCCAATGATTAGCACCTGACGGGGACCTTCCTTTGTAGCTTTAAGTGTTAGAATTGACTCCCTTCCAATTTTCATAGGTTCACCAACTAAGGCTGATGTCTAAAACAGGAATGCCAAGACAACATGTAAGCACCTTAAATTATCTCCAGAAACTCTTCATGGAGAGTTCTTTGGCATATTTGTACATGCTTTTACGTTTCTTTTACTTGACAAAATCTCAGTACCCTTCAAAGTCTCAGAGCTCTGTCATTATAAAACACATGCTTTTATTCAAGTATTTTTTTTAAGTTTATGGGTTTAATATTATCATCACACAGAAGTCTTAGTCTAATTTTTTGTTTCTTATTGCAATTCAATCTACAGAATCCTATAATAATACAAAATTATCCAATTAAATTAAGTTCTCCATGTCGATCTTATCCATAAGCTACTTCTCTGGCTGAAACTGTGAGTGAACAAACGCATGGCGTCTGACTACTCATTCAAAAGCTAATGTCACTTTGCTGATGTCACAAAAAGTAAAAGTCTTCTACCAGATTTAAAGAAGCTGCAATATTATGCTAGTGTCAGTTACCATAATTTTGCCGCAGTCTGAAACAAACAGGCCAGCCAATGCCTTACATATGTGCATATACAGGATGATTCAAAGTCCTATGGCCAGACTTTAGGAAGTTGTTTGAGGCATAATTTGGAGCAGAAAATGCAAACAAGTTGTGTGATTCACTAAGTTATGACTTTTGCCACTTTTTTAAGAAAATGAATTGTCCATATATGTATACATTTGCTTAGTCACATTTATCATCTGTATCTGTTACCTTTACAGTGAATGGAAAGTAACGATGCATGACTGTGATTCACCTTAGTGGCATCCAATAAAATGATTGCCTTCAAAGATATACACCTTAATATTAGTGAGGGCATGTGATTTCAGTACAACAGCACTCCCCACTTTAAAAACCAAATGCATAACTTACTGAATGGACATTTTCCAGACAAAAGAATTGACTATGGGGGTTTGATTGGCTGGCAGACATATTTTCCTGATTGGAACCCACAATCCTGTTTCTTACAGGGGCACACCAAAGAAACTACTTATGCTATAAAGGTACAGGATCAAAAGAGCCTCATTATAACATCCTAGACAACTGATTCATTTCAGGGAGTCCACTGTACATTGCTCTGATTCGTGCACGAAAGCTGAACAAGGTAACTATCAGAAGTTCTTACGAAGAAATATGTAGAACTGTGTGAGTTGCCACTATAAGATCAGAAATTTGTGTTAAATATAGTGTAAAATTCATACTGAAAAGAACTAATAACTTGGGAACATTTGCTTTTCACTCAGAGTAATTTAAAATAATAAATATGTAAAATGCAAATAACTGAATGCATACATGGATGGACAGTTATTTAAATTTGTTAAAAGCTGGTGAAACGTCATAGGCCAATGAGCCGAACTATTCTACTCTACATTTTCTGCCCCAAATTATCTCCCCATGACTCTCACAAAGTTGGGTCACAAAACTCTGAATTATCCTGTGTGTATCACACTCTTCATAGTTACCACTGTGAGAACCTCAAATCAAACTGTTTAGTATTCAGTTTACAGAAACTGAAAATTATACCATTTTCTGCCGCTATAATATCATCCATATCTTGCTGCAACCTCTACAGGGTCCTGCATTTAAATATTATACTTTAATTTTTAGGTTTACTGACAATACACCACACATTTTAGAAACATATGTTAAATTTTCTTTGATTGTCCAATGTGAAAACAGTGTTCCTAATAAAACTTTCAAATGTATTCATATTGCATAAATTTTACTCAGTATAACTAAACAAAACAATCAATTATGCAATCTGACATAGTCCCACACAAATAAGAAAGACAAGAAACTTAAAATGTTACCACGCCAAACAAATTTGCATTTTTACACATTTTAACAAGTTTATGTTTCTAAGATGCAGCAAATGGTACCACTCAAACCATATAATGCCATTAGCATAACAAGTGAGAAATATGTTTCAAAGATAGGAGCCAAGAGTTTACAGCCAGTCTGTCCGAAAAACCACCAAAGCTATGAAGCTGAAGCTGTAATTCGTCACGAAGAGATATTACGATGGAAGTGATGAAAGTGGGAATGGTGAAGACTGTACATTAAAAGATAAACTGACTTAATGTACAATATTGCGACATAATGGCTAGATGCTGGCAGAAACTGTCCACTGCCACACATTGCTAGGCAACAAACAAACAGACAATTTCTTGGAAGCAGTGCTTTCTATTAAGTCTGACCTGAGGCTATATAATGAGAACCAATGGGACAAGTGAGTCATTCTTGAGTCAGAAGACAATCCCCAGTGATGCACAGTGGAAATGGTAATCAAGCAACAACCAGTAAAAACATAACAGACATAGTGCATGCTGTAGTGATTTGTTAAAGTATGTTGGTAAGTGAAAATGTTATGAGCTGTTAAGTGCTCAATACATCCAATTACCAATCCAAATCCTGTGTCACTAACATGCCACAATATGTTTTCAAAGTACTTATAATCTTTCACATCTTTCCTTGTAAAAATGTATAAATTAATATATAAAGTCCCGTATCACATGCAGGTTTCTTAGTGTGGGCAATTTTAAATTCAGAGTTATCTTCCATTCAGGTAAATACAGTATATATTCACCATCACTGTGTGCTCACAATAACTATGAAGTTCATACATCATACTGTTGCCCATGAACCAGGGCAGGGTCAGTCCCACACACAACATATACTATGAGAAGTTCCACACACCCCTTCGCAATTAAAAGTAGTTTAACTTTCTCAAAACACCTTCATAATTAATAACACAAAATTCCCAGAAACTGTCAGTGCTAACATAAGCCTAAGCGCCATACAAGGCGACAAACAACCACACACATTAAAGCAGAGCATGTTTCTCAAACTTCCCAAAATGTCCAGATATTCTGATAAAAACCATCATAATTCTTTAAAAAAAAAACATATTTAAATTATCATTAATTATTGGTCACACTATGAACAAAAGGTAAACGATAAGCAAAAATTAATTTTAATTTGACAAAGAAAGTGTCTGAAAATTTACCAACCCAGGTGGTTGCTTCGTTCACCTGTGCTACCCAGACGGCACTGCCAGGACAAAGCAAAATTATCTTTGCTTACAGTAATTAGGCATAACACAAAGTATTTTCTGCTTTTATTAGACTTATGTAACATAATTTGTTCATCTCTTGTTAGGTTGTTATAATTAACAGCAGGATGGAACTTTCCGGTCTTCTTCGCAACCCGTTTCAGTTCTTTCTTGAGTTCGAAGTACAGAAATTCTGTCCCATAGGCAACACTTAAATGGGGGCAGAGTTAATCAGAACACAAAAGCCCTGAAGATCTTACTTTAACAATACGATGTATTCAACACATATTACTGTATAGGGCATACTGATATGTAACAGAAGATAAGGGAAAACTAAACTAAGAAACATGAAATGATGGTTCCATTGTATATCAATTTTAACACCTCTAACAATGTGTTAAATTAGTACACTTGCAAACCTGATTACTGATGAAACAGAAAGGCTCTAATCCCTTTCAACAGCACAAACCCAGCACAATTCAAATGTAAGTCTACAAATTGTTAGTATTGTCGCGTTTCCTAGGCAATGCGACAAGAAATTGTGTGGGTCTCAGTTTTGGATGAATATGTTTATTGGACACTCACTTTTTACACTCACTAATACAATTATTTGTTCTTACGATGACTACGGACATTTCCTCTTCAATATTATACGTGCACCCCTAATCTTGCTAGAGCATCTTGGCTCTTCATTCTTCAAAGCTGGACTGACTCCTGCTCTAGTCAGATACGAACTAACTGGTCTCTTGTCAGATACAAATTAACTGGTCTCCTGCTGAAGTTTGACTGTTATATCCTGCACTCGTGCTGAATAGGGAACACCTTGTCGAAGGGTTTAGTTCTGCCTGCTGCTATGCAATGAATCTCTTGTTGCCACGAGAATACATTTTTACTGCCTCAAGCAATACGTTGCTTAGATATTGCTGGTCTCTTTATAATGGTGGAAACCCAATGTTAGGTTCTCGTGTTCAAGCGGTTTCCTAGGGAGCATGCTTTCTCATGGTCTGATGCATTGCAATGGATGTCTTATAGTCCTGCTTTCAGGCAGCGCATCACACTGCTTCCTTTATCCTGAACATCTTAACAGTATTTCCCTTTCTTTCATTTCTCAGGGGCTTCCATTGTCTTCTTGCCTCATGTGCTGTTCATCTTCTGAGCACTACATCACCCCCTCCTTCAAGGGAACTTGTCCCTAGCAGCTCCATGGTAGACTTCCAGTCACTTCAGGCTCTCGTCATCATCCAGAGGTTTTCTCGTTCGCTCTATCTTTCTCTCTCTCATTATAGCTGGGGAGGCCAGTGTTTCTACATTACAGGCTCCTACTTCATGTGCGATCTCTCTCTCTCTCTCTCTTTTTGTTTTGGAGGGGGCTGACCCCTTCACAGTGTCCAACAATTGTTTTGTTGTTCTGGAGGGTGCTGATACCTCCACAGTGTCAAGTTCCTCGTCTTCTGCAACCCGCCAAACATCCCAGCTGCTCTATTCATGAATTCCAGCTCTAGGGTCTTCTTGAGAGTCTTGTAGGCTGACCCGCTTCTTCCCAGAGGGGATAGCTGTCTTGAGTTCCACAGCTGTCCTTTTCTCTCATATAGCAGCTGCTTGCTGCCTCAGTCTTAATTCTGCTTTTGCATTCCAGTCTCGGCTGATGTCTCCTCCCGAGCGTCCATTCTTTTGGGGCTCCTCGTACCACACTGTCCATGGTCCGAACTTTCCCGATGGTGTTTTCATTGCTCCTTGCCACTCCTGCACGATGTATCATCCCTCTGTTGGCGACGGCCAATCTCTTCTGGGATCCACACTTTTCCTGTGTCATATCCTTCAGTTTCCGGCAGCATCCCACAGCCAGATTTAGGTCCCTACACCGTTTCCTAGGTCCTCCTGCCAGCCTCACTGCGGCATCTTCTTTAGGGACCTTTTGTCACTGTACTGCTTCAGGTTTTATGTCCACTGATGTAAGCTCCTCTTCTTCCAGGCATGGCACACCATTGTCTCTTTCCAAACACCCTTCATGTCTGCTAACCAGGCATCCATCTTTGTCTGGTTGGCCAGAAGCTGTTGCGTCATCTGTTCTCGGCTGGCTCTCATTTCCTCTCATCAGGCCTTCCTGTCGGCATCCATTTTGGCCAGCAAAACTTCTTGGATGGCTTTTATACTGGTGTCCATCCTGGCCAGCAAATCTTCTTGGGTGGCTTTTCTATCTGCCTCCCCTTTTTCTTGTATGGCTTTCAGCATTTCCACTATTTGATCCATATTATTTTTTTGTGTGTGGCTTTGTACTTGTTATCTTGGTCCAATAATTTGTTCCAGAACCTGATCCTACAGATCCCACTTCTGACACCAGTTGTCATGTGTTTCCCAGGCAACGCAACAAGAATTTGTGTGGGTGTCGGATTTGGACAAATATGTTTATTGGACACTCAATTTTTACACTCACTAATACAATTATATGCACTTATAACGTCTTCGGATGTTTCCTCTTCAATGTTATACGTGCACCACTAATCTCGCTGGAGCATCTTGGCTCTTCGTTCTTCAAAGCTGGAGTGACTCCTGCTCTAGTTGGATACGAACTAATTAGTCTCTTGCCGAAGTGGGACTGTTATATCCTGCACTCAGGCTGAATATTGAACACCTTGTAAGAGGGTTTAGTTTCAGCTGCTGCTATGCAAATGAATCTCTTGTTGCCGCGGGAATACATTTTTACTGTCTCAAACAATTCGTTTCCTAGATATTGCTAGCCTCTTTATAGCAGTGGTAGATTCTCGCGTTCAAGGGGTTTCCTAGGTAGCATGCTTTCTCATTGCCCACTGTGTAGCAATGTATGTCTTATAGCCAGGCTTTCAGGCAGCATGTCACAGTATCATATTGTTATTCTGCATTCAATGGAGTCCTTTCAAAATAATTTGTCATAAATACGAAAAACACTAAAGATTTAATGACTAAACAGCCATTTTAGAAATTAAATTACATTTCATCTGTTTCAGAAGTTTTGCTTTTAATAATACTTTTGTTATTGTAAGTGTATGATGTGAGCTTTGTGAATAGTATTTGAATCAATAAGATGAATGTTGATGTATCCATACCTTGATACTAAACCTAGCCACTTCCCCAGCCTGAGTCCCAATGTACACTATTCCACAGTTCTGGTCCATGCACTGGATTGGATTTCCAATATCAACAGCATTTTGGACTAGTTCTCCAGTCTGGAAGATAAATATGTGATTAGAGTTTGAAGATTTAAGATTCAAATAACACAATGAAAGGTGTATCTGCTTCAGTAATAACACATTAAACTAAGTCCCTCATATTAATTCTTTTAATTTAATGTGGATATGGTCATGCAGTTTTTCATTTCAATGTTAGGCTGCTACTACAACAACAACAACAACAACAACAACAATAATAATAATAATAATAATAAGTGGTTGAGGGGCTATGCAACAAGCTGGAAGGTCGCACAAGCTGGAAGGTCGCGGGTTCAAGTCCCGATGAGGTCACTGGATTTTTTCAGTTGACCTAATCCTTCCAGCCGCACTAGGCCCTGGGGTTTACTCAGCCTCTAACAGAAATGAGTACCAGGAATTAATTAAATAATTTTCCTGGGGAGTAAAGCACATGCGGCGCGTAAGGCTGACAACCTTACCGCCATCTTTGAGCCGATTGTCTCTAGTGTGGGACCCTCAACGTCTCACAACCCTATGGGCCTTAACGACCTGGTACAGGGATAGCTTTACTTAATTTTTACTTTACTTTAATATAAAAGAGTATAGTGGTACTGTACCATCAGCTACTCACAGACTTTTATGAGCCATTTATTACAAACACAACCCAAAACATTTAAAACACAAGATGTAATTTCTAGGTATGCAAGCAATATATACAGAAAAGTCTGCCTGAAGCATTTCCATGTGACAGTATGCTAAAAACGGTCATTCTTCAATTTCCTGCATAATATACTAACACAAAACCTGAAGACTTAAATACGAAGGTTATTCAGAACGTATCTCCAGTGAGCTGTTAACAACCTGCAATGTGAAAAAACAAATTTCATTACATACAAACAATGTGTACATACTTAAGCAACTTCTAAATGTAGTCACCATCAGAACTGAGGCATGTGTCATAATGGGGAATAAGTTTTTGTATGCCCGTGTCAAAGAAGTCTGCCGCCTGTGAGTTCAGCCACATAATGACACCCTTCCATCAGCTCCTCATTACTGTAATCCCATCCGGTTCTTCAGGTAAGTAAATAGGTGGTTGCTGTTCTGAGTGAGATTAGGGTTGTGAGAACCGTTGTCAAATAACTCCTAGATGAAATGGTCCAGCAGTGCTCGAGTACATGAACGCACACTGTCATAGAGGAGCACTACACTGGATGTCAGAATTCCACGCGTATGTTCTGAATGGCTCTATGCAGCTTTTTTAGCATTTCTCAATACACTTCTGACTTCACTGTGGTCCCCTGTTGCATGAATTCAAACATCAGGTCTCCTTTCCAGTCCCAGAAAACAGATGCCATCAGCTTTCTGGCAGACATTCCTTTAAACTTTTCTGCTTGTTTGGTGAATGTGTGCGCATCCAGCACTTTCACTGCTTTTTGGTTTCAATAGTTACAAATGAAACCCAGGTTTCATAACCTGTCACTCAAATGATGTGACTGAGAAATTTATCACCTTCTTAGTGGTATTGCTCTAAAAAGCCTGCAAAAGCTGAAGCCATTCTCTGCATTTTGTGCACAAAACAAAAACTTCGTGGTTTTAGTCTGCAAGCGACTATACCGATTGAGCGACTGCCGCATGTTGGCAGAGTTACATGTAGTGCCAACTTTTGCGGATAGAGGGTGTCACTTGGTCAGTGCAATGGATCCCCCTGGCTGTTAATCCCGGTTTTCTAGACTGGAGCCGCTATTTCCTTGAAAAAGCTCCTCAGCTATCCTCATGAGGCTGAGTGGACACCATTCCAGACCCACTACTTCTCAGAAAATCTGGCAGCACCAGGAATCAAACCCAAACCTCTGAATCTACAGCCAGAACTATGACCACTAGACAACAGCGGCGGTCCATTATGTGCACACCTGTGAAAATTTTTACAACCTATATTGTGCAAAACTTGTGATATCCTAGCCTAACTGATAATCTTGTAGTGAAGAGAGTGTAAAATTTGTGGAAATTCACATAAAAGTTGTGAAATTTTGAGGAATCGTCTTTCACAAATTTTTTGGTCAAAACTTTGCACAAGATTATCACTCACTACAGAAAGCCAGCCCACAATTTTTCTCTTCATCATGTACATTTGTTCACCTGCCCATCTTTGAACATTCAACACCACTGTCTTCCAGTTGCTTCACTCATTACATTTTGGCCATAAACTGTGCATAATTCATGATGGATTTCCACACATTTCCAGCATGAAAAAAGTGGACATCAGTGCAAATTTTGCAGTAGGTGGGATTCTCAGTGACTGGACATACCATAACTCACTCTCAAGAGAAAAGAAGAAACACTAGGTGACGAGTCATGTGGTGGTTTGCAAGGCAATGAGTTATGTAACGCTACCTCGCATGTGCGAGCTATTCTCCACTCCTCTATTAGTTGCCTAAAATAAATGGAGGTTACTTTCCAAATAGGCCTCGCATGACTGGTACTATGGTCTTAATCAGGTTCCCTTACATGCACTGATCATTCATGAAGTTTCAAGAATACTCGCTCATTCACCTCCATTTCTAATGCAACTGAAAAATGTTCAGTTTCTCTTTAATTCAAAATAACATTAAAATTACATAAACTGCTACATGCTTTGGCCTTACTTGGTCACCTTCAGGCAACTGTTCACTTTTTGAAATTGTCACAAAAGGAAAATAAGGAGGAATGGGAGTTTTGTTCTCAAACATACTTATTTTAAAGGAACAACAATAATGCAATAGCATGGAAATATATTGACTTATGATCCAGTGCAGTGAGACACTTTCAAAAAGTGAACAATTGCCTGAATATGGTCAACTAAGGATGAAACATGTAGTAACCAATGTGATTTTAACGTCATTTTAAATTTAAGAGAAATTGTGAACATTTTTAATAGTTGCATTATAGACTGACATGAATCATACAAGGGACATATGCCCAGCTAGTTTCACTTATGCATGAAATCAGCACAAACATGGATGCCATAAAAGGAAAATTATGTAGACTGGAAAGAGAGTTCTGTTCTCAGAAAAACATATTTTAGTGTGAACAACAATAACGCAACAGCACATAAATATACTGACGTAAGATCTAGTGCAGTGTGATGGTTACAAAAAAGTGAACAACTGCCTGAAGGTGGCCAAGTAAGGCTGATACATGTAGCAATTGATATGATTTTAATGTCATCTTACATTAAAGTGAAACCGTGAACATTTTTAAGTTGTAAGATTTGAGGTTTTCATGGCGATGACTATGAAAAAAAGCCATCTTCTGAGATGTTGTGCTGTGTAGATATTGTGTTAACCGATGTTTCGGAGGAACGTATCGCCTCCATCTTCAAGGTAGAAGAAAAAAGTAAACCTGCTAGCGAGGAACCAACGTGAGCAGGTGCTGACAGACTAACGTTGAGTTGAATAAAACGAGCTGTATGAGAGCAGGAAGAGAAGGGTAAGCGGCTACATGGGAAATCAGTAGAGGAGAGGGGAAGGGTCTGGGGAGGTGGGCCAGCAGGTATAGAATATTGTGTCGTGGGGAGAAAGACAAGGTTAATTGGAGAGCATTAACCCAGAAGCTTTGGGCTATGATGCGAGTTGGGCATGGACCTGCATGGCCTTCTGGTTCTGGCATAGCCCTGAAGCTTCTGGGTTAATGCTTTCCAATTATCCTTGGCTTTCTCCCCTTGACACAATATTCTACTCCTGCTCTGGCCTGCCACCTGTGGGTCCATCTCCACAGACCCTTCCTCTCTACTGATTTCCCATGTAGCCCCTCACCCTTCCCTTCCTGCTCCTATACAGCTGGATTTATTTCACTCGTCACTAAGTCTGTTGGCACCTGCTCACACTGGTTCCTTGCTCGCAGATTTTTTCTTCTACCCTGAAGATGGAGGCGAGACGTTCCTCCAAAACGTCGGTTAACACAATATCTACACAGCACCACATCCCAGAAGATGGCTTTCTTCATTTTTAAGCTCCATTAAAGACGGAGGTGAATGAGTGAGTGATACATCAATGCAACAGGATGCTCAAATATACGAGTAATATTGTCACGTGTTGGGTATGTCACACTACAAATAACTTCACACCGTCAAGGATGTAGCGAATATGTATTGTTTCGCCTCTACACTCACACACTTTACGATTATTATCACTTGCAGTATCACAACTACTGACTCTGCTTCAATGCTTATTCTGCCTTCTGCGGCTGCGACATCTCAACTGTCCTTGGCCGCGTGGCTGGATCCCAACTGTCTCATTCGTACGTCTACCTAGCTCTGCTTCCAACTGTCTTATATAGGCGTTATGCAGACCAGATACCAGACACCATTCCGCGTGGTTCCATTCCCACTGTTCCAACAGTCCGTTGTTACGCAACACACCTTCTGTTGTCCATCTCCGGGGAAACGGTGCTTCGTTGTTTTGGCCTTCTCTACGCAACGGCCCACTGTTATTGCTTTACCAAGGAAGTATCTACTCCAAACATGTTACAATATTATTCAAGAATGCATTATGCAGTTATAAAAGTGGGTGGAATTAGTGAGTTCAAGTCAGTCTGCAGTCAGAAGTGGTTAAGAATTTTTGAGTGGTAAAATAGAATTGTCATGTCCTGGTAACGCAATAAGTAATGTGTTCTCTGCATTGATGAATCGATTTACTGGACAATCACCAGGTGGATATCCAAATACCTGTAGCTGGGTGGCAGCCATGAGGTAAGCTACTATACAATGGCTGTTGTTAGCTAACAGTTCCACCAACAGACACACACCACTGTCCACAGTCAGGTCTTAACTGCTGTTGCTTGGTAACGTGTTCAATGGTGATTGCTCCCCCTCCTCTGGGTTCCTGAATTGTCCTGGCCTCAGCCACAGCAACCCTCGACTGACTGACTGGCAGTCAGCTAAACTGCTGCTGGCCTTCACTAGCACAGTCATTCCTGGCTTCAGTCTCCTCAAGATCCATGACCAAAATTTTTATTCTCTCCTAGACATGTGTTTCGAAATGGGGCCTCTTTTGCAACAAAGA